TGGCCCTTTTAATCCAAACATCCTTCTCTGGAAGAATCAAACTATCTATATTTTGATAGAGTCATACCTGATTCCAGATAGAGGAATGGAGAAGAGAAAGGAGGTCCGATGAGATAATGTTTACAAAAATGAAAAAGAGCGGTGAAGATGAAGTGTCTTACTGAGTTACTATTAGAACCCCCGAGAGAAAAAGACAACCACAAATTTGATCAAAAGTGAAGAAGAATTCAGAATTCAAACTTTGAAATAAGCTTCATTTATGCAAGCTGATGACAACTTGCCATGCAAAGTTACCGGGATTTTGGGGATTTGCCTTTCAAATTAGCGGCAATGAATGTGTTATATAGAAGAGTATTTGGTAAATCAACATTGGTGTTTAATGGGCGCAGGAGAAGACACATGACATTAAGGGAAAAGTGGGTAATTCACTTACAACTATTGAGCGGGAAAATTCAAGGGGGAGGCGCTAAGAGAGGGAATGCCACATGTGGTACCGTTTTATTAGAAGAGAAGATAATAAAAAAGTTAGGACCTACCTTATGTTGGAAAAAAATAATGTGTGTTACTAGTTAAAAGAAAAATAGATATATCTTCGAAAAATCCATTTGAATCATATATTTACAACTTATAGTTAGTCTTATATCGGTCAACTAAATGAAATAGATTAGATTTTGCCTTATAAGTAACTACATGAGAGAAAACATTGAAGTATCTATGTGTTGTGGTTATGACTTAGCTAATAAGTTAACAATTGATTAGGTGAAATTGCCATTTTATTATAAATTGGATCTTGTAGTTTTTTTTTAAATTTAATATATATCTCTAAATATTATTAAAAGAGAACCCTTAATTTACTAATGAAACAATCATGACCCTTGATTGTATTTCAATCATATGATTTTCATCCTTAGATCAAATTGATGACATCATCTTCTCTAAATAGAATTCAAACATTTAATGATAAAATCTTTAAATTTAAAAATTATATTTCAAACACAATTACATTTAATTATAAAATCTTTAATTATAGAATCTATTCATACTTTCTAAAATATAATTCACAATTTGAGCGAAATTACATTTAATTATAGAATCTTTAAAATTATCAATTATGATATCAATTAAAGCATATCATTCTATTTATATATGACGTATCAATTTCTCCATAAATCAGGCCAAAAAGATGAATAACCGCACATCTTTCTCCTCTATTTTTTTTCTCTTAAACCATAATTCTCTAATCGTCTTTGTCCTCATGTCAATGGTTGTGCTTCAGTTGATGTTTTGTGTGTTCATAACATAATGTAACACCATAAAGTGGGTTCTTTTTTTCTCATGTATTCTTAGAATTTACGTATTGCCTCTTCCTTGCATCTCTATTTATCACACCTCTGTTTTGGCTTCACACAAATCTCTACAAAAGGAAGCAAGCATCACCTTCAAGACATCTTTTGAAAACTTATGTCATCATTAATCCTAATTAATATTGTTCATAGTTTAACTCACTTATTTATAGTTTTTAGCTTCAAAATTCAAACTTGTTTAGTTTTTTCTTTAAAAAAAAGCCTCATTAAATAAGCATATCAATAATTATGTTATCTTTAATATATATATATATATATATATATATATATATATATATATATATTAAAACAAAAATCTTATGATATCATCTTAAACTATTTGGGTAATTGATTGTATTTCAATCTTATGTTTTCCACCTTAGATTAAATTGCTGACATTATCTTTCCCAAATGGAATGTATTTAATTCCAATAAAAGTTTTTCAATTGCCAAACAAAATTAACTTTAATCCATTGAAATGAAATGTATTTAATCCTAATAAAAACTTCCCATGTTTTATATCTTGAAAATCCGTTTATAAAGATTTTAAAATGGTCAACTTTAAAAACATATTCCTAAACCATTTCAATTAAGGCATTAAATATCAAACATTAATATAAATATGTTTATATTAGCAACCATCATTCTTATTGCTTATAACTTTGATCATCATTCTTCGTTTCAAAACTTCGTTGTTGTGCACAAGAAGGTCAGTACCTTCTTTCACTTATTTATATTTTTTCGATTATTTTTTTGTTATTGTATCAAATATACGTATTCATATATTTTGATTTTCCTTATCATAACGAAATCGATTAACAACTTTTCTGAAACTTTTCAAATAAATAGGAAAAGACATTACGTACCTTTAATCCAGAAAAAAAAAATGAACTTTGATGGAAACCAGCTAAAACACAACATAACAAAGTACTTTGACAGAATGACAAATACACCCTACCCATTTTCCTATTCATGGTAATCAATTTTTTGTGTATTCGTTTAGCATGATACGTCCATTTTTATCCGAAGGGTAAATCATTATTTTAGTATATATAATGTTCATTAGAAGTGTAAATCAATCATTTAATTTAAACATTGATCAGATCCTGAGTCGCTACTATTTTTGTTTGTATGATTATCTTAACCTGGTTACTGTTTATAATTGTATATAATATCTTAAATTGTTGCCTGAATTACAAGGATTTTTAAACTAATACCCTCATCTAACTTTAAAGGATCATTTTTCAACTTTGATGGCATGTAACAGAGTTTTGGCTAAAAATTTCAATTTTGTCGACATATAACATGATATTAGATATTTGGGCAATCATGTTTTCTTCGGCTCTTCATTATTTTGCAGAAAGCGGTCCAATTCAGTATTATTGATCTCACAAAAGGCAAGTCTCATGTCTCTTTTAGCGTATGCATTGAGTTTAATACTAACTCAATAGTTTCTTGTCAATATTTGTTTTTAAAAAAAAATGTTAAATCTTGATTTACACAAGTCATTAAAGGTGCAAGAAGTGCGAAGTATTAAATATGGGATGATCATG